TTATTTTCTCAGCAAACCAAAACTGGTCTACGTACATGTACTAAGCAGTTGAAGCTCTTTAATGTTGATTTAATTTGAAGGCAATCGACGTTCTCGGGTCAATCTGCGGAGCTCCAATTACAAAAGATATAAGGAGAGTCCATTCAACGGGCGCGTGCATGAATCGTCATACTTTGTTGTGTGGAGCTTGGTACAATGAACGTACTTGTATCCATCACTCGAGCATGTATCTGTGGACCATGCAAGTGCATCAAGGAGAAAGAGGTCATGCATGCACGTAGTTGCGTTTCTTTTACCATTGATGTTAACACCTTTACATATTTTAAATGACATTATTGGATCCCATGAAAATTAGTTGGGATTTAGCTTTCAACACTTTTTCTACTCGGGAGATTGATTGAATTCTTTCAGATCGACAGGAGTAATTATCTTTCTTTATCATTTATACAGCGGACTCGGTGCAGCCGGATTTGATTGAAATTCGTACGCCTTTTTATTTCCGAAAAAAAATGGAAATTTTTAGACTAAAACTACTCTGGAATGAGTCCATTATTCTTAGTGATTTCTATTCTCAGTATACAATTAATGATGGTGCCAATTGATTTCATCTAATTTATTTTTCCTCTGAGACTAACCTCATCCTGAGTCCAATTTGGGAGAGGCTTTTTTGGAATACAAGATGGGCTTTTGTTGTAACAAGTATAAGCCCACTACAATAATGATGGCTAGATCCATGTTGATAGTTTCTTAAAAATTTGATTATTATTAAGGGCTGTTTGGTTCGCTATTATAAGGGGTGGAAAACCCAGAAAACCCCTCCACGTCAGATTTTTAGCCCTACACGTCAGTTTTTTTGTTTTCGTCCATTTCTTTGTGCCGCTTTGGTTCGCTCGGATGGAAGAGGGAAAAGTCTGCTGAAATCACCGCCAACTCAGATTTTTTTCCCTCTCCGATTTCCTTCCCCAACCGAGTGAAATTGATAAAAACTCTGCCACGTCAGATTTTTTTTCCTTCTTTGTTTTGTTTACAAAAGTTTTCCTTTTTTTCTATGCAAACCAAACACAAGAAAAATAAATACATTGGTTTCTCACCATTTTTTATGTGCGAACCAAAGCAAAACAATCTATTTTTTGGAAAAGTTTGGAAAACTCAAAACTTATATTTCTTTATATGGAATTGCATTTCCCTATATCAAGGAAACGAACCAAACAACCCCTTAGTCTCCCAAAACGAGTGATTAGCCTAAATATAAAGATAAAGGATGACCAGGATATGACGTTGTAGGTGTGTTGACATAAAATATAAGGTTATCATTCCGCATGAAATTACTAATCAAGTGAATTTAATCTTGTATTGTTCAACTTCGATTAGTTTGAGATATAAACAACGAAAATTCTTTGTTTTCTGTTAATGGCCTTCAAAATGGAAATCTGAAAGATTAATGAGATGAATGATTAATTAGTTAACCATCTGATAATTTATTCAATTAACCGCTTCTTCTGTTTGGACATATCACGTAGTTTAACTTTCACACAATTACAATTGACTTAAAAAATTTACTTTGCAGTTTTTCAAGTCAAATAAATTGAATTCACTTTTTTACATGTGAATTTGTTTTTGACTGCGCCATTCTCATTAGTTTTACAGGAATTTCGTTTAGGAAATGACTGCTTGCGATTGAGTTCAAGTACGAACTTAGCTTTTCACTTAGGGGTTGTTTGGTTCGTTTCCTAGATATAGGGAAATACATTTCCATGTACAAAAACACAAGTTTGAACTTAGCTTTTCACTTTAGTATAATTAGAAAAATGCGGCATGGATAAGAGGTTAAAGTACATCTTATATTTATTATAACTAGATATGGTAGATCTCTTCAAGTCAATGTAGTTTCAGATAATTGAACCAAAGCAACCCCCTACGAACTGCTTTCTGAAGTTATACGCATAACTAATATCTGTTTTCAAACTAGAGTTAAAAATAAAACATATTTTTCTCAATGCTAGGTTCATTCAACCTTCCCGATCGAGTATATGTTACATTAGAACTCGAAGGCATTGATGAATCGTGGTTTAACAAAGACTGATCACTAAAATCCGCCACCAAATCCTGGGTCAGCGATGCAAATTGTTTGGGGTAGATATTCTCTATATCTTTAGCTGTAGAGAAGCTATACAACAAATCAACCACATTTCCTCATTTAGTGTACTCAAGAATGGTATTATGATAACCAACACTATTAATTTACATGACCAATTGTAGAAATTCTCTCAAAGTAAGAATATAAAAAATCATTCTTGTTCGTTTGTACCTGAAATAAAGATTAGGGAAAATTTGTAAAATAGTCCGTTTTTACTAATTATTTAGCAAAATAGACCGTTTTGCTAAATAATTAGCAAAATAGACATTTTTTTGACCAACAGGCCAAAAAGAGGTCTATTTTGTAAAACAACTCAGAAAACATACATGACTAGTAGTCCCGTATGTTTTAATCACGGATTAGCGAACTCAGGAAATTTCACAAAACATTAAGATGAACTCAGAAAACATACAAGACTACTAATCCCGTATGTTTTTTGAGTCACTAATCCGTGATTAAGTTGGTTCTAAACATACGGGACTAGTAGTCCCGTATGTTTTCTGAGTGTGAGTCACTAATCCGTGATTAAGTTGGTTCTAAACATACGGGACTAGTAGTCCCGTATGTTTTCTGAGTCTTGTTTTTCAAAATCGATTCTAAACATACGGGACTAGTAGTCCCGTATGTTTTCTGAGTCTTGTTTTTCAAAATCGACATTTTTTTTCAAAAAATGTCTATTTTGCTAATTATTTAGCAAAACGGTCTATTTTGCTAAATAATTAGCAAAACAGACTATTTTGTAAATTTTCCCTAAAGATTACTATTGGTTGTGTCATCGATAGCTATTTTCTCTTCAAAGTCAAGGGTTAGCAAGTAGATCTTTAATTACTTGAAAACTATACTAAATTGATTTTCTAAAAATATGTTAATTATGAATACCAAACTGTTAAAAAGAATACCTATCTACTTTACTGTTGGAAAATATGGGGAAAAGCTAGAGTTTTCCTAGCTAATCCAATTTGAATCCTAATGGTTGCAAACTTTATTTCTTAACGGGTGTAAATCCAACTCAATTAAAACCGAATTGCAATATATTTTCTACGGGTTTTCAATTAGAAAACATGGAACAAAATGTGATCTCCTAGCTTCTGCTTCTCTGCACAACAACCCTCTTTTTATTCAAGTAATGAATCAAGGGAAAATTGCTTGAAGGAACTAAAATAAGTTGGGTAATGCATCCTCCTCCCTAGCCCCAAAACCATAACCCTCAAGCCCTTATTTTGAAAAATAAATGCAACCAACCCCGAAACAGTGTAGAGACCCACTGCCCAAGAAATCCATTCCAAAATTACCCTTCTTCCCAATTTAAAACCCAAAAAATCCAGCCCCAAAATTCCTTTCCTCTTCAAGTTGATCCTACACCCTCCCCTTCCTCCTCCGCTCCTCCCCCTCCTCCTCCCTTCCCCTTCACTCCCTCTCCATCAAGCACGGCCTCCACTCCGACCCCCACGCCGCCTCATCCATGCTCCACGCCATAATATTAGAATGAGAAAAAGGATTGGGGGGCTTTGGGTGTTCGCGCGTGGGGCTCCCCTTCTCGAGATGAAAAGGGGCGGCTGTTTGAGCCATGAAGCGATCCATACTTTTGTGTACCTTTTTAGGTTCTTTGAATCGACGAGCTTTGTTTTCTTTGGAAACTTTCTACCCAAAAAAAAAAACAATAATAACTCATTTGGATAATGTTGGAATTGACAACAGGGTCGGTATATTTTTTTAATTAAATACGATAATGTTTTTTTACCACCGTCGTTAAATATGTTAAATGATATCTTAGCCATGTGTATTTCTGTTGGATGCTTTGTTCATGAAAGACCAATTTTGCTTTTGTGAATAGTTTCACATTAGAAAATGAGATGAATAGTATTTGGTATATAATGGTTCTCTCTTTATTGGGCTTTGAATAGTGTTTTGGGTTTTGTGGGCTTTGCATATCTATCTCACACACGCGCGCGTACGCACGCCACGCCTCGCCCGCGCGCGCCACGCCGCACCGCACATATTTTTGCTTCTCAAGCTTTTATTTTTGCACGTTTTACACGTTTTGTAACGCCTGCATGCGGGTAACGGAAGCAAGATTTGTGCGTAACGGTTTTTTGGATTCAGCGATGGTTACACTTCTCCTAACCTATATAAGCACGCTTGGAGCTCATTCAGAAGCACACCAACGAAGAGAAGAACAACTTCTAAGCTCTCTTCTTTCTCTACTATCATTTTTCCAAGAATATTTTGGCTACATATTTACATTTATATTTTGGGTAACCGTTTTCGTCTGAGCATAAGCTCTGTGACTCACGCCCGAGTACAGAGGCCGGCCGATTTCGAGGGTTTTACCGCTGGCGATAGACGGGTTCTCAATCTTCTAGGACAGTGACATCACGACTGCTCCCGATCAGGTCTAAATTTTCTAACTCTTTAATTTAGCTTTTATATTATTATATTCCTATTTTAACCGCAGTTTTCATAACTAATACAAGAATACAGATGGTGAAAGTAAAATTTTCAAATTCTCTACAGAAGCTAATATCACGTACGAAGAGAAAATTACACAAATATTTTAACATGATATAAATTCGATCGTTTCTTCGTGCTTAATTGATAAACGATTTAATCGAAGAGGCCACGGTTGTCACAATTAATCGAGTGGCGCACGTCAGAGGATCTTCTGACAGAACTTTGCGTCGCACGTGAAAAACTTAAAAGCCAGCAGGTCGCCACATATTATTTTCGGCTGCGTTTGGGAACTTGGATTTGGGCCCTGGATTTCAAATCCAGAGTATTTCAAATCCAAATCTTTAGTTTGGGCTTTCAATTAGATTAAGATTTCAAATCAAATTATTTGAGATAGGAGAAATTGAAAGCCCAAATACAGATATTTCAAATCCCACCCGACGCGTTGGTATTTACCAAATCCCGATCTCATTTCTCAGCCCCCCGATCCCGACTCTCAAGTTCTCCCTCAGCGCCAAACTTCTATCTCTCCTCTCTCCCCTTCTCCTCTCTCGTCGAAACTCTAGGGTTTAGTCTCATCTCTCCCCCCGTTCCAGCGAAACCCTAGATCTGATCTCTCCCCCTTGTCGCGTGCTCCCTCTTCGGGCGGTTCAAGTTCCTCGCAGGAGTCGACGCCACGGAGATCGCCGGCGAGTTCAGCCGTAAGAGGAAGAAACTTGAGATCGCAGGAATCGATAGATAGGGGATTGAATGGATGGGATCGGTGTCCGAGGTACGGGATGACGTCCGTTTGTGGACGGAGGAAGGAGATGGAGGATGCTGTATCGATTCGGCCGGATTTTGCAAAGAGAAGCTCTGGAGTCGACGGAAAGCTTCATTTTTTCGGTGTTTTTGATGGACACGGCTGCGCTCACGTGAGTTCGCTAAATTTTTTTTTTACGAATGCGTTCTTCTCTCTAATCTTCCAATTTTTACGAATGCGTTCTTCTCTACGTATATTTGAGATACGTATCAATCTAAGCTTAGCATCTCTATTGAAACTTGAAAGTGTCAATATCTACACTCGCATCATCTCAGAAAATTGAACAGCTTTAATAACTGAAATTTTCAGTGTACATAATTATACCTCTTATTACAGCTAACGTAGTGCTTACTATATAATTGAAGAACCAAGTACATCTTTTTTTAAGTCCAATTGAAATTCACAAGTTGAGTCCTCTAGTCCACTAATTTGGTGAGAAACGAACAAATTTAAACAACTGAACAACTATATTTGACTAATTCTTCTTCCTGTGACAGAGCTTAAACCGCGTTGGCGAGGGCTTAAAATTACAGAAGGATGACCATGGTTGCAGTTTGTAGCCAATCAACTTTAATTACCTACCTATAATAAGCCATGTTCTGTGCAACCCCTACTTAATTTGTGACATTACATACTAAAACCATGGCTTAAATTGAGCTTAGCACATGGCATATATAGTAGTACATTCTGAGGGAACTCAAACAGCTTGAATATTTCAAACTCTCTCGTTGTGCAAAATTATATTTTCTTAAAACAGTTCATCTAGGACCTATTAGAAATAAACCCAAATTCCATAGTTACATGAAATCCTACATGTCTTTCCTCACATGGGAAGGGGAAATAAAAAATGAAATTTCAGATGTTACATCGATGAATGAAACTACAAAGTGTTGTGCACAGCGGAAATTTCGGCAGAGTTTCTGGTGCACAATAAGAGAGAAAGATCGATAAGAATTCTTGTTTCTCAAAGGGAATAAGAATCTGAAAGCCTAATATCCCATCAAAGTGGGATATTTGCTCTTCCTCTCGTCAGCTCTATTATCTTCCATGGACTGTATATATTTGTTGACTCCTCTAAACCTTTAATTTGGTGCGTGGATTTTTTTTTATAACAGAAACTCAGCAATTATGTTTGACAAAATTTTGTCTTGTAACAGAGAACATTCCCTCATTATCTTCCATGAACTGTATATATTTGTTGACTCCTCTAAACCTTTAATTTGGTGCGTGGATTTTTTTTTATAACAGAAACTCAGCAATTATGTTTGACAAAATTTTGTCTTGTAACAGAGAACATTTAAAGTTTATCTTCCATGGACTGTATATATTTGTTGACTCCTCTAAACCTTTAATTTGGTGCGTGGATTTTTTTTTATAACAGAAACTCAGCAATTATGTTTGACAAAATTTTGTCTTGTAACAGAGAACATTCCCTCATGTAAGTTAACAGGCTTTTTATCCGTTGACAATTGCTCAAGTGGAAGAATGAGCATGACCATGGTTGCATTTTATATTCAACTCACTTTTATTAATCCATATACCACCAATCATTTAACTTAAATTTGGAAGCTTAATTAAAAGCATGGTTTATGATGAGCTTACCACATGGGCATATAGTAGAATGATAAGTCATAGATTCTCTGTACCAATATTTTCTTGTTTCTATTGTATGCTGTTTATCCTTTCAGCATGAAAATTCTAGTTGAATATGAATTTAAGGTAGAAGTCCTCTGTTTGTTTTTTCTGTTGTAAGAGCATCTAAGAAAATGCTTAGCATTCTATTTGATGGAGGTTGCAGTTCTTTTTGTGGGGGAGATCTATCCAAAAGTGATGCACATGAAGGATGACGCTAAGGAGCAGAAGCAGGTCGAAAGATGAGTATGTGGATTACTTAGTTTTGTTATTGTTGTTTGATGCGTACATATGCATCATTTTATATAGTGCATATTGTTTATTTTTATCTTCCATGTAGTTTCAAATTATTGATGCCCAAGCTAGATTCTCATTGGAAGCTTCTCTATTTGTTTCTTGCTTACAACCCTTTGTTCTCAGGGAAGAAACAACACGCTGGAAAAACTCAGGCCTAGAATCCCTATCGACTTTTCCCACAGTCATGAGGTTTCACAACAAGAGTCGTCTTGTTATGGTCGAGCTTTGATAAACCTGAAGTCAACTGTTCTTTACACACATTGCTGACAATTGCAGATACAATTCTAGTAAGCAAACCAATATCTTCGGCTACTGGAAGTAGAGATTGACAACGATGGAGGACCGAGATGGAGTTCGTGATGCTGGTGAAGACTGTCTCTTTGAGATAGGATTCAGACTGAGACTCTTAAGTTTCTGTCCGAAATTTCTTCGGTCATTTGGAGGTGATGGGCTGCACAGCGAAGTGTTGCGGCGTTGGAAATGATGAGGTCGATGTTGAGGCCGTAGCAGAACTTCGCGGCAAGTTCGAAGGATTCGGGTCCTCCTGGCATATTCTGGATTGTGATTCTGGTAGGTTTTGAGTCTCTGCTTGAGTCTGATATCAGTTTTCGGATCTTTCCACTCCTTGAGACTAGGGGGACTGCACGTGGAAATGAGTATAGGTCAGAACAAAAATATCTGCAATTACTGGACCAATTGGAAAGGAGTGTGCTGATTTGTGGCCTACGATTGCTAGTGCAGCCAATGTCATTGTGTAATATCCAGATTTTTCTTCAGGTGTCAGTGAGGAGTAGTAGTTTCATGTTATTTGTTATTGAAAAGAAAAGAGAGTTTTTTAAATATGGATCCATATTTGTATTGAAAGTTTTTGTTTTCCTGTGACGTACATATATTGGAATTGATATTCTGTGATCCAGCTGATGGTAGCGTTGTTTTCCTTTTGTTATGAAATTAAATGGTGATGGTTTGAAGATAATAATGGTGATGGTTTGAAGATAAGGTTTTGGATATCATTGCTAAAAATTTGTTAAAAAATAAGTTACTGGAAAATTTGAAGATATTTTGTCAAACTTCGGGGCTTTGTGAAATGTATCCCAACTTTTACATTAACATAAACCTTAAAACACCAATTCTAAAATCCAAGTTCATGTATAATAAAGTGTATCCAAACACTATATTTCAAATCTTTGATTTCAAATCCTTCTATTTTGGAAAGACATCCAAACAAAAAATTCTATCAAATCATGGATTTCAAATCCTAGATTTCAAATCCTTTGATTTTAAATCAACATTCCAAATCCAAATCCAAGTCCCCAAACGCAGCCTTCATTAATTTGCCCCCCTGGTTAATTAATTGGCTTCCTGTTTCCGCTGATATCACGGTTTGAAGAGTATAATCCAAATCGATGTGCCCAGTTTCGGTAGCAAGATTAAGGTTCAATCCTGCTCCTCTTGCTAATTAAATTACTCCTCCTGATCATGTCCGTGTTGGCCTCTTATAGAACATCCTGCGCATATGTTGTGAAACCGTCATATAGGATTCAAAATAATCCAGTCACATGCATAACGTTCTATCATTATTCATAGTCGCAAATGTTAGGGGAGAAAAAATTGTTGCATAGGAACAAAAAAAACCTAGAACAAAAAATATAAATAAATAAAATTAAAATAGGCTGAGAATTGTTGGCCTGTCGTAGAACTTCAGTTGCCACCTTCATTTCATAGGAACGTTTTGGTTTATGTCATAAAATGACCCAAGTGTTAATTCTACTTCATGAATCCGCACGTGCCTCAAATTGGTTACGCATCATCTCGACTCGACCCTAGGCAAGACGAGCCCAATAACACCTTCACTTGACCCTTACCAAGAAGGGCAGAGTCAAAAGGCGCGTCCTCACTGGAGCCCTGTAGTTCAGAACGACCCCGTGCCTCTTCATTGGGCGAGACCAGGTTGAGAACCTCCCAGCCCGAGATTGCCGAGTCGAAAGGTGTCCTTTGTCGTCCAACTGGCAAAGCCGAGTCGAGAAGCGGTTTGTCCTCGAACTCCCTACAAATAGCCAGTCACTGTCACAGTGAATGCCATGGTTGGAATCATCATTGCTTATGCGTCAAAAGTCTTTATAACTCATCGGACTTCGTCAACACCATGATTCTCTTCTCATCATTACATTAAATGCATAGGTGACTCATCTCATCTGCAGCCGACACCTATCTGTCGACTCAGCTGCATGCATGGACTCAGCGAAAGTTACATAAACAACTTGTCGGTAATGTATAAATAGGCACACCGCCTACTGACCAAAGGTGCATAATTTTTCGCACACTTAGAAAGAGCTATATCAATTCCTTAATCCTCTTCAGGTCATGACTAACTTGATTGTCAGAGGATTCACCGGAGAAGCCAACTCCGGTCCTCTAACGTGTTGCGGTTTTATAGAACTCTCTTTCTATTAGGGGTTCAACCATCAAAGGAGGTAAATGGGCCCTAAGCTCTTCATATCTGCCCCAAATCCCATTGTTGAGACCTCGCACATCAACATCTCCGAGATTGGTTGGCATTCGAGTTTACTGCGAAACTCATATTTCTTTCGCTCAATGGATGCATGCCCGATTAAAGGAAAATCAAAACTACAAAATTAAAATCGAGAGATATAGATCAGAGAAGAGAGAAGATAGAAGAGACTAGAGGAGATAGAATTATTTCTTCCTTTTTTTATTTGCTCATCTCTTTAAGTGATCTCTATTTATAGATATTCAAGAGAGAGTCGCTGCCAACTATTCAGTCTATTCCCCATGAGAAATCATTGATTCATGGGAAAATTGCTTGAAGGAACTAAAATAAGTTGGGTAATGCATCCTCCTCCCTAGCCCCAAAACCATAACCCTCAAGCCCTTATTTTGAAAAATAAATGCAACCAACCCCCAAACAGTGTAGAGACCCACTGCCCAAGAAATCCATTCCAAAATTATCATTCTTCGATCGCCGACGAGGTCTCGCTTCCCTACCGCCGCCGACGAGAACCCCTCGCCTACCTCACCTTCGCCCACTCCCACTGCCCCTCCACCTTCGCCTTCAACTCCCTCATCCGGGCCCACTCCTCCTCCGGCCCCACCCCCTCCCACATTCTGTATGACATATGCTACGGTTATGTGATGTATGACGTTGTTATGTGACATTTTGGTATTCCGTGTGACATATGCTGTTATGTGATATTTTGGTATTTTGTGTGATATATTCTCGTTACCAGTTACCTATGCTACAGTTTAAGTATTACTTGATATTTTTACAGATATGATTGTGGCATACATGTATATTTTTTTTCATCAAGGCGATCCTAGATGGAAGGGAGACAATGAATATTGAAGCCTTGCAAAGGGAGTCTGAGATGTTACGTGCAGGACTTGCTACTCAAATCATGCGTAGGTCGCGTGAATGGAAGAAGTTGTGATTGAAGTTAGATATTGATGATCCAGAATATATTTTGTACTTTGGGGGGTAATGATGTACCATTTATTGAGTGGAAGTATTAGACAAACATATGTAACTGTTTCATTTGTTGGATGTTGCATGTTTACTAGCTGTTTGTAAAAGATAAAATGTGCATTTGTAATTAACTACAAAGTATAGCCATTTTCTATGAACTTGAGTTATTAAATGTCACATTATGCTTTTATATGCGACGTTCGTCTGTTATGTGTGACCTTTACTCATCTTATGTGGCAATACTCTATTATATGTGACTCTTATCTGTGTTCTGTGATATTTTGTTGTTGTTTGTGACAGTTATCGTTTATATGTGATACTTGGTTGTACTTTGTAGTTAATTTTTGTTTGACACACAGATATTTTGCTGTAGCTTGTTCTACGAAGGAAATGGGATGGTGGGTTGGGATTGTAACTTCCTGATGTATTTTTGTTTAATGTGTTGAAATCCTTTGTAAGGATGATTTTAATCCAATTAGAGTTTAATTTGGGAGTGTTGTTATGTTTCTTAGTTATTCAAGGTTAAATGGGAAAATGAGGGAACATATATGTATTGTAATTAACCGTAAATGTGACAAATAAGCATATCATGTGATATTTCAATGTTATACGTGACAATTCAATCTTACATGTGACAGTTCTACCTTATATGTGATATTTAGATCTGATTTGTGATATTTGGGTGTTGTATGTGATATTTGGGTGTTGCTTGTGATATTTGTTGTTTATACGTGACACATTAACTATCAACAAATTACAGTCAAATAGCACAAATTACAGTCATGTGTCAGTATAAATAATAAATATCATAAGCAACACCCAAATATCACATACAACAGATATAAGTCACATCTAATAGAGTCATTCCACATGTTACAAACAAGCATAACATGTGACAAATAAACACATGTGGAATGATCTAAATATCACATACAATAAATTACAGCCATGTGTCACGTATAAACAAATTATAGCCATATGACAAATAAGCACATTCACTATCAATAAATTACAGCCAAATATCATAAATTACAGCCATGTGTCACGTATAAACAACAAATATCACAAGCAACACCCAAATATCACATACAATACCTAAATGCTACGTATAAACAATAAATGTCACAAGCAACATCTAAATATCACATACAATACTCAAATATCACATACAACACTCAAATATCACGTATAAATAACAAATATCACAAGCAACACCCAAATGTCATATACAACACCCAAATGTTACAGTATTACTGACTACATATCTTCCCAATTTAAAAAGGACCTAAAAAGAAAGCTCGTCGATTCAAAGAACAAAGCTCGTCGATTCAAAGAACCTAAAAAGGTACACAAAAGTATGGATCGCTTCATGGCTCAAACAGCCGCCCCTTTTCATCTCGAGAAGGGGAGCCCCACGCGCGAACACCCAAAGCCCCCCAATCCTTTTTCTCATTCTAATATTATGGCTGGCCGTCCTGGAGCACGTGACCCCCCCTTCAGGGGGTGGGGTGGGGTGTGGTCACCGCTCCTTTTCTGCTCGGTCGTTTCCCAGCACCTTCCCCATATCTCTTCTCGCGGCCGCTATATAAAGCCGCGCCATCTCCCCTCAAGCTCATCGAAACTCGCTGCAATCTCATCTCTGTACCCTCCGAAGAAAAAATCGATCCATGGCTGGTTCTTCCCCATTTTTCTTCTTCTTCGTTCTCTTTTGCTTCCTGTCTCAATGCTCTCAATGGGGCGGAGACAACCTACCGCTCCTCGTAGAAGAGCAAGCCCCCGCGATGACCTAACGCACGAGGGCCCTCTCCTTCACCGGCCGATCTCAGTCAACCTCATCTGGTACGGTAAGCTTCACAGCCCCTCAGGCGCGCCATGTCGTAACGGACTTCGTCGCCTCCCTCTCCCTTCCTCCAAGAAGGGCGGTGGCCAGAACCGAAGCCCTCGGTCTCCTCCCTGGTGGAGGACCGATGGATGAAGTACTTCTCGGAGTCGAAGAACCGAATGCCGAGGCTTCGCCCTCGGCAGCCAGATCCTCGACGAGTCCTACCCGCTGGGGAAAGTCACTCCCCACGGGCGCCCACCATCGCCAGGCTCAGCCAAAGGGGGCCCGGAGGCCACGCATCAACCGTGTCCTCACCTCCGAGACGTGGGCGTCGAGGGATTCTGCATGAGCCTGCGGACGGCACGTTCGGTCCCCCGACCAAAACCGGCAGGTTCGCTTACGTCCTGGTGTGGTTAACCCGCGCGACGGCAGTGACCGGGCCAGTGCGCGTGGCCGTTCCACCAGCCGATGTACGGGCCCCAGTCCCCGCCGTTAGTCGCCCCTAACGGCGACGTCGGGGTCGACGGGGTGGTGATCAATCTGGCGAGCTTGCTGGCTGGGACCGTCACGAATCCGTTCGGCAACGGGTTCTTCCAGGGGCCGAGGGAAGCGCCGTTGGA